ACATATTTATACACATTTATAGATAGCGAGGAAGTATCAAGCGAGAGCCGTTGCCTTCGCAGCTGGGCCTCACCAATTTGGGGACACTGCGAGGAAGTCTCGAGCGAGAGCGCCGTCCCTGGGTTCGGAGGCTCTCTGGCCAGGGCGCCTCGGAGTGAGCTGTATCGAGGGAAGTCATTGTCGTCGTGGTTAGGCCTTCGCCGACTTGAACGACTTGCGAAAATGTCTGGAGCGAGAGCGCCCTTGCTGAGTCGGAGGGCCTGTCTGGCCAGGGCGGCTTGGGGCAAACGTTGAGGAAGTATCGAGCGGGAGCCGCTGTCGCCGTAGCCGCGAGCTCGCTCGCACGGAAGCCCTGATTCCAAATAACAAGTCACTGGCGTCGAGGGGAGAGCGCCCAGAACCGTTCATTGATAAACAAGAACCGTTCTGCAGGAGTGAGTCATCTACGACCGCGACGGCGAGGGGCACGAGAAGGAGGAGCAAGGCAAGGAGGGCGACAAGGCGCGTCTGATGCGTACCCACCCCGCTCAGCGAGCGTGACGCGACCTGAGCCGAGGTCCCTCCTCGTGACGAGCGGGGCAACATACAACGGCACTTCTGTGTGCGGTGGCTCCGCAGCACGCGGCGGTCGACCGCCCTGGGGAGGAGGAGGGGGAGGGGGAAGAGATGCAGGAAAAGGACGGGGGGGTGAGACTAAGGAGAAGCGAGGAGGAGGAGGAGGAGGAGGAGGGGGAGGAGGAGCAGGAGAGGAGGAGGAGGAGGAGGAGGAGGAGGAGGTGAAGGAGGAGCAGCAGCAGCAGCAGCAGCAGGGAGGAGGAGAAGGACGAGGAGGAGGAGGAGGAGGAGGAGGAGGAGGAGGGGTAGGAGGAGGAGGAGGAGGAGGAGGAGGAGGAGGAGGAGGAGCGGAGGAGCAGCAGCAGCAGGGAGGAGGAGGGAGGAGGGAGGAGGAGGAAGAGGAAGAGGAAGCTTGCGGCGCGCTTCTCTTCGCACTCTCGACGCCGAGGGCGAACAAGCGAAGGACATGAAGAGGCCTCGCGCGCCACCTTCAGCTTCTTCCGCTGCCCCTTCTTGGCGCTGGAGAGGAAGCTCGTTCTGCTGGCGGCCCAGGTGAGGGGAGGCGGGCGAGGTGGGGAGCACCAGGGGCACCACGCGCAGTGGGGTCACTATGTAAGCGAGCGTGCGACGGGGAGGGGAAGAAGGGGGAGGGAGAGAGGGAGGGGAAGGAGGGCAGAGAGGAGCGGGGTTCGAGAAGGCCTGCGTGCCTGAGCCCGTCTTCGCGCCCGCCTTCTGTGGCAGCGTCTGCCGAGGACGGCAGGGGAGGCCAGGTAACTACAGGCAGACTCACTTAGGGCGGGCTTGGTCACCAAGCTTCCCCCTCACGCCGCATCGAAGGCATTGGACAGCAGAGAGGAGGAGAGAGAGAGAGAGAGAGATAGTGACTACCTACCAGATCACCCCAAACCAACCCGAAGACCCGCATTTCGGGTTTTGGGGGGGTACGGGTTCCACATGCGTTTTTTCCCATGTTCCTCGACCCACCCACCCACACTGGAAATGGAGGGCTATGTGAGGCCTTCGGGCTAGGTTGGGGGTGGTTTGGTGGGCTGTGAGGTTGGGGGGGGTGGGGGGCCGAGAGGCCGACGAAGGGGACGACGAGGCACGGGGCGAGGACGTGGGGCTGGGGCAGGGGCGAGGAGGCGGCGGAGGTGAGGCGGACGACGGCGACGACGAAGGCGACAGCGACGACGACGTCGTCGTCGTCGCCGTCGTCTTAAAAAAAATAATAACAAAAATAAGAATAATAATAGTGTCAAAAAAAGCGGGAGCGCGGTGGGGCGGAAAGCTGCCCGAGCCCGCAGCCGTGCCGCCCTGAACCGGGTATGGAGTGTTCTCGGGTCCCATGCGGGTCCCCTGTGTGGAATATTCGGGGGTGGACAGGACCCCCTTTAGCAGAGCGTGGTTTCGTGAAAACGACTTCGGGCCCAAACCTGGCGAGCGCAGGCCCGGAACATGACGGCCGTGGCGCCCTCTCGAGAACCGAACACGGACAATTCACGAATCGACGTGTCAGGGTGGGGGTTCTATCCACCCCCAAAATACGGCGAATGCTGCTCTCTGCGTGGCCCAGAGCCCTGCGTGTTTCGGCCCCGCTCCTGGGGCGCTCTCCGCTCCTGGGAATCCTTGCGTGATTTTTCTCCGAGACTTACGTCGGGCATGTCCCTCTACAGGAGGAATACTAAAACAGTAAAAGAAAATATGGGGAATATTGTTCAAACATGTTTTGACTACTGTATGTTTGAATAGTTGTTTTAAATCCGCCGATCCGGCGTCTGAGTTTAAGAAGTCTACGCTGAAGCTCTGCTTCAGCACGAGCTTTAGCTCTGCTTGGGAGGGAGGGAGGGGGGCGTGATTACTTGACGAGTTATGTGCTCGGCACCTCCCCCCACCCTGCTAGGGAGGAAGGGGGGGGACGTAATTACCTGACGAATTATGTGCTCGG